GAGCTCCAGAGCATACTTTGGCACTGCAGCAGGGCGTTAAGTGGCTGAATTCAGACCCTGCTAAGGAAACGGCAAGCTCCCGAGCCGCGGCGCCATGCCAGATGCAGAAGAGGCACTTGGCGCAGGGGGGCGAGGGAAGCCGGCGATACAAGTGCCCTCCGCTCTTATCTGCAGACCTCCGCTTCTGCCTTGGCTGATTACTAGGCCCTTCAAATGAGAACTAGGTAGGTAGCAAATAAAAATGAGGGACATAATTGAAAATGCAGAAGAGGAAAGAGCAAATTAGTTCCTCCCAGTAGTTGTCTTGGGGGTAGGCCAGGGATACTCCAAGGCTAATGCTGGAGAAGAGACAGAGATCTCTGACTAAGTTACTAGTCAGCTCCTCTTTCCTTTCCTGTAGCCCATTCCAGCTGGCTCACCTTCACTAGCAGATGTAAAATACTTCTGGTCCACTTTGCAAGGGGACTGAGAGAACTCTAATATAAAGAATCAGCATAAACCTACTTGAAGAGAAATAGACACTGAAGCAGTAACTAGGCCACATTAACCCGTGTGTCCTCTAAAATATGAAGGTACGAACCAGCATTTAGAAACCAATCATGGGCTAGTTAGTTGGAAAATATTTCACTAATGTGAAAGCTACAAGAGATGCTATAATCTTTGATTACCCCTGAGGCCACAACAAACTCAGAAGGAAGCATATGAATTGCTGATTATTTTCTATGATGACAGAATCTGAGAAGTTGCTGATTCTGCCTTTGTGCAGACTGACGGGTCCCTGGCTGTACCACTTCGACCAAATTTGAATCATGTAGTGCTGCTCTCATTTCAGGACAAGGCAGAACGCACTGGAGTTTCGAGATTTTTTTTTTCTGGGGAGCATACAGCCTTTATAGGGAGATGCAGACAGCGATTATTAAGTTTGCTTTGCAAGACAAATCCTGGCTTTCAGCCACTTCAGCTCATGCATCTAACCTTCCATGATGTGATCACAAAGCATCCTTTCCTCATTCAGTCCGCAAGATGGATGACATGAGATGAAGAATCAGGGAGGTGTAGAGAAAGAATGGCACAGAAGGTGAAGCTGTGTGGTGGAAGCCAGTGAGTGTAAAATTCAAGATTACATTATAATAAACACACAATGTGGACCACAGTAATTTTAACTTTGACTTCCACTGACTTTATGTACTTGACTTTGAAGTCTTATAGATCTTTAAATGTAATCAATATGCAAGATGTTACATGTTAAGGAATAATTAAAGTCATTTTAGCATGCTTAAATGGAGCTCTGCTTAAACAATACCTTTTTGTACACATCCATTCCAAACTGGAGCTACCAATTTGGGAAGTTCCCATAATGCTTTCTCCCATTCTGCTATAAACAAGAACATACAGTAATACCAGCAGAGAATTTGATTCAAGCTATGCGTTTCAGACAGGGGGGTATGAGTAACTGAGCAAGAGCTTTTAGAACTTAATGCCATGATGACACCTTTGGATCCGCTGCTGTAGCAATTCTGAGAGAGGGTTTGTCCTTCTGTGCAGCAACTGAGGTTCAGGCTATGACAACCTGATCATGCCTGTCCTATTCTGACGAAACTATTTGCTGGTGCTGTGAGAAGGCGAGGAAGGAAGAGAGGACCTATTCTGCAATACCTCTCTGCTTGGAATCCTTCATTCTGCCCTTAGAAGATCCCTTTCTGGCTGATCTGTTGAAACAAAAAGGCACCCTTGCTGAGGAACAAAGGCGTGTATCCAAGGAGCTAGTGCAACCATTCCCCAATTAATTTTTCCTATACAATAAGCAAGTCCTAAGGAACAAAGACAAATTTAATTGGGGTGTAAATTAATAAGTACTATACGTACATCCACAGCATTTTTAGAACTATTGATGTTTTTAGGAGAAACAAAAGGGAGGCATTTTAAACTAAATCACACAATTCCATCAAAAAAATAAGATATACTTGGGGTAGGCATTTCTTTTAAAAAAATCAGGGTCTGCTCAGTGCTTCATTTGAAAGTACCCCACGTGGAGAGAAGCAAGTGATCAGAAAACTTTCACAAACGAAATGGGAACACTGATGTTTCATCTGGAGCATCACAGATGTTTTCAGAATTTAAAACTGCCAAAGTTAACTATATAAGAAAGGGTTTAACCCCAGATTTTAAATATATTTCCATAAATAAGAGAAGTTCTTTTGGAAACACTGTAGGGGGTGTTCCTTTAAACATGTTTGTAGTTAATATATTTTACCTTGTTTTTTCTGCCCTGATAGTTACTGTATCAAGCTCCTAAGCAGAAACTTTTCTTTTTTCAGATCACTGAAATTAAGTTAGAAACTACCTCCTGGCAAGGTTTAGAAAAGTGTTTCTATATCTGACTGCCATTGAAAATGAACAGGTGGATCCAAAGAAATTTTCTCTTGAGACCACATTTCTTTTTGCCACCTTCAGTGAACACATGCAAGCATGAACAGCAGCCCTGGCACATGCTGCAGGGTCCTCTCAGTCCTACTGAAGGCAAAGAGACTGAGTGCTGCACACTGGAGGTTTCACTGTCTCCAGTCCTTGTCAAGTCCTCTTGTGAGTGAAGTGCACAGACTTCCTGACTGATCCATAAGGCTTTTTTTAGGAGGGAAGGGACAAAAATCTCTTCTAATATTCTGTTCCTGCACAAGAAAAATTATGGCGCTTTGGATGACACATACATTATAGGTGAACTGGATTTAGCTTCTACTCACTCAAACTTGATCTTCTGGAAAAAGGCTTTTTACAAACTTTTACATACTCCCCCCACCACTTTACAGTGAGAAAGAAAAAAAAGATTATCTATACACAAGCACAGAAATGTACATTAGCAAAGGTTGTGCTAAGTTAGAAAGAAAGGAAGTGCATGACCACTGGCGTTCGCTGTGCCTGTCACTAGATAACCATGAATGATTTAGTTTTCCAGTGCGCTTTAAAGTCCATTGTAAAAGACTGTTAGGGAAAAATCAATACCTGCAAGATAAATGGCAAAGTCTGTGAATTAGAAATAGACTAGTACTGAACCACTGTTCCTCAAAAAAGAGAGTTTAAACATGTGGTGTCTGTGATGCATAGCAGCATGATTTTATATAATTATCAAGAATTCCAAGGGAGGAAATAGACATTGAGTCAACAATATTTGCCGATTACCCCAGGCTTCTCTTTTTTAATAAAACCCATAAAAGTTTGGAGAGGAATGACAGGTGTGAAGGATAAACACTCCGGGAATTAGACAAACGGAAAGTAACCCAGATAAATGTAAGCTAGTGTACATAGGCAAAAACAGTCTAAATATCCAAATTAATCTGTCTCTAGAGGCTACTGCAGCTCAGAAATTCAGTAATACCACCAGTAAGCAAATAACATTGGTTGACTCTACAACTACAGCATCCCTAAAGAAAAGGTTCTCTGAGTCGTTATGTACAGTTCTGTGAAAAAGCTCACCTATAAAACCAGTGCAACTGGAAAGCAGACAAATCAATAACAAATACAATTCTTGAATGTATTAGAAAGAGGATGGAAAATGAATATGAATTGCATTATGCCTAGAAGATGAGAATGACACACACTGCTTTCTTAAAACTGCATTGAATTTTGGTCCTGTGCTTTAAACATACCTGAACTTTTAAAAATCTTTTATCTCTTTGTACACATGCACATGCACGTACCCCCCCAGTCTATACACATCTCCCTCATAAACGCACAATTTTCACATATACATTTTGCAATGAATTAGTAACATTTGCTACTGTTTATAACATGTGTTTGGCTGCTGACATTCAAAAGAAGCTGGCTGATACATTACCTCATAACCATCCCACAGCACCGTACGCTGTAGCGCAAGGCCTATCAGCAAGATGTATTTGCATGTCATGAAGAAAAAAAAAAAATCCTCTTACTGTTTTAACTTCAGACAGAAGGTGAGTTTGTGAAAGGAAACACTTGGCAGTGGTTCAGCCGATCACTGTCTGGCGGTGGTGACACTGCTTCCCTTTCCATCCCCTCCCGCAATTACAGTGACAAGTGTGACGCTGCATAGTTCAGGCAACGGTCACATACGACCAGATTGTACTCGCTGACTTGGCAGAAATGACCCAGAGCAGTTTCCTTCCTGTTGCTATTAGCTTACTATTTGCCAACTTGTTCCATGCTGAATTACCTCCACACATGGAAACCTGAGTGGCAACATGCAAAATATTGGTTTTGGTGTACTCAATCCATTTAAGATAATAATTAATGAAACAAATGATAAAGTGTGATAGCAAAAAAGCATTTTCATAACATTCAGAACCATTTTATGAGCTGTTAAAGAAGTGAGAACTACAGAAGAGAGTATTTTTGTTATTGCTGCTCTGATAAACATGGAGAACTACAGAAGCATTGAGCATTATTTTGGCAACAGGTTTTGGTTTTTTTTTTTTTTTGGCAAAAAGCCAAGATGCTTTACCATAAACTAAAAGCAGCAGGTTCACATTTTTCACATTGGCTGGCTGCGCAATTTTAGACATTATTGTTATTATACAGGATTAAGATCCACCAGATGCTTCACTGGCTGTAATAGACTTAGCTTGATTCAAGTCAGTGGGGGATCTAGACCTTACCTGTCATACCTGTTTTTCCATTAGCTTTTGCTTTTTCCTTTTTTACAGCACATGGAAATGCACATGCCCAGGCAAATGCTCAAAATTATTCTATCGCCCATCAAATCTCTACCGGTGGGGTGGGGGGTGGGGTGTTCAGTGTGCAAACACCACCCCAACAGACCAAGTTAAAAAAAGGATCGGCTCCATTCACAGTGAATGGGTACCACTCAGTCTTTCGCACAAAGGAACAGCAACCACCACAGCACAGATAAAAAGGGTTCTCTAAAATTGTGTCAGTGATGCACTGTTTTAAGGCAGTTTCAATACTGGATATTAGAACTGGCTGGGAAAGCATACAGTGTAACTAAATGTGGAAACACCTTTACTTACTGTGTTAAAATTTGGGAAGAATCCAACAGCAGAGCTGCTGTCCACAGGGAAGGACATAAAGGGTTTGATATCCAGGGAAGGCTGCATCATCAAGGTAGGTGTGCGCACAAGGGTGGGAAGTGTAGTAGTGCCTGCCAAGAGCAAACAAAACCACGAATTCATACCGTTCTCCTTTCCACATCACACACAGTATAGCTATCTCTTGCTGACACAACCGCCAAGAAAAAATAATACAGGGAGGTAATAAAGTGGCTCTGTAGGAGTTAATATAATTAAAAGAAACCTATTTCCACACACTACAGATGAGGCAGAGCACTTCCCTATGGCCATGGATACTCAGATGCTGAAGAGGAGACATATGGTATATAAATCACACTGGCAGGTAGAATAAATCCCTTCTAAAGCTGAAAAATTCTTCGGTGCCAAAAAGGCCAGGATGGGTGCCCATGAAAGTCAGATGCTTTTGCAATTCATGGTTGCCTATTAGATCAGCTAGCACAGACAATAGATGCAAGCTGAAATCCAGAGGTTTGTTTCCAAATAGTGAGCTGCATGTTTATTTTTTCCTCTTCTGACAGCATCTGTAACTATCAGCTGGTGCACAAACATCATTTCACCTAACATTTAAAAAAATGCCTTCTGTTTTACAGTGCAAGGCAAATATTAGAAAACAGTCAACAATTAAATAATCAGCTAGCACATAAATGAACACAACTCTCTACATGCAATGCAAACTAGCATTTTCTTAATTGGAACCCAGATCTTTCTCTCCAAGCAAGAGCTTTCTAGAAATCTACATGCTGAAGTTCTTTCTGTATACACTTGAGAATCATTCCGCAGCAAGACCCCGAAGGAATGGGAAGGCACAGATGTCCAAATATTCATTTTTAACTAGCTATCTGCCCTATTTACACAACAGTGTGCCTAGGACACAGCCTCCAGCTATGCCTGTGGGAGTATTTTTTTTTTTCCTGCAATCATACAAAATAGATTTCAAATAAAAATTCCCGCACTGAAATAAAAAATAGAAAAAAAAAAAATCTCAGTTTCTTCTTCCCGGGTTGAATAAATAATTCAACACCTACTGGAGCAGGCACTGGAACACAAGTGTCCCACACCTCTAAAGGGGGGTGAGTCACTCTCTGCTTCTCCTTCCTCTGCCAGAATTTCTCCATAATTACCTCCTTCTCCCACTCACCGGTGGCCAGCACATCAGCCGGGAGCATAACAGTCCTCTTAGGAGTTTCTGTGGTCTCAAGCAAAGCTGACACAATACCTAAGCTTTTGCTCACAGAAGTTGTCTGAGCTTTTCAAACCCAGTTAGGAAGGGGGGGGGCGGGAAGGAGAAAAGTAAACAAGCAATTTTCCCCCTCTTCTCCCATGAAATCAAATCATTTGCATCTACTTGCAAGATGCCAGGTAATCCATATGGGCTGCCTGAGTACCAGTCTTCCATTAAGGGATCTCCCTTTCTCCCTGTTAAAGACATGCAAAATTTCAGACAGAGTAGAAGCTTTCCTCCTTTTCATCTCATCATCCTGCCTCCACAGACACAATTTCAAACCCATCTTGCGGTATTCAAGAGGAAAGCTGAGTTCAGAAGCCAGATGGGGCTGCATGGATTTTTTGGACGACCAAACCCTTATAACTAGCCCTGAGCTCAAATTTTGTAGATGCTGGAGAGACAGTCATTTTGATCACAGCTGCAGCACAGTAAACATTGTGTTATAGTCTAGCAGATGAATAGAAGGCTATAATCTATTTTCTGTTTCTTCTATAGGAAAAGTGTGATGATTGCAGAAAGATGGGTCATTTACAACTATGGAGAGTGAACTGTTGAACACCATCCCAACTGAGCTGCACAACTTGAAATGAAAAATATGCTTGAGACGCTTTCCCAGAATACTTTCTCCTTTCTCCTACCTCAACACTTTTATAAATATAAGGTTTGTTTCTGCATAAGCCCATGAAACTCATTGACAGTTGTGCTTAATTAACTGTAAGTCAAAGCTTATTCAAGTGGAGTCAGAAACGTCAAAAAGCTAAAGGCTGTCTAACATGCCTATAGTTTCTTCTTCATATCCATAATGAAAAAAATGCATCAATAGGAAAGCAGTGTGTCAGAGGATTTATCCAAAGGAAGTATCTTCAACTGCAAAAATGATGAATATTTCTACTGGCTGGTTCTGAAACAGTAGATTTACATAATTTGGATTTCAGAGTTGTATTCAAACAGCAGCTATGTTGTATTCAATTACCTAAAGTCCATAAAGTGCCATCATCAATCTAACTTCCACAAGTTTCTCTTTGAAGTTCATAAGCAATGAAAGGTCCATGAATTTAAAAAAGACCTGTCCTCTCTTTACATATACATACTTCAATGTAGCTATGGTTACATATTTTAACTAAATTTTACAGAAAAAAATACAACAGAATAGAGTTAAGTTGTCACTGACATTTAAAACCAGAGTTAAGCTAGGTTTCTGATGCTGTCCTTAACCAAGGTATAGAAAGCATTTGGCATAAAAGTTTTAAAAATTAAAAAACAACTAGCATCATCCTGCAAACAATGCAATCTTCTTTGTACTCCTTGGCTGAGTACAGATCATTTCATGCGACAAAGACATTTGAAATCTGCCTGCAGTTTTGCAGTCCATGGTGCTTCTGCTGCCAGAGTAATATATGACCAGTAGACTAGGATACATTCGGAGTCCATACAGAATAGAAAATACACACACCTACCAGACAGATTAGTGGAGGCATTAATTACAAGAGATTTGTTCCCTTCTGTTTGCCAGTTTACTGCTTCAACTATTGCCAATCAAATACCAGTGACCCTGTTTGACTGAAGTTTGATTTTCAGACCCACCTTTGAAAGCCTCTGGAAGAATGATCAGATAAAGATGACCTAAACTACAGGTAGAAGCACTTCAGGACAAAATCATCAAATCAAACAGAACAGGGCACAGTTTTACACTGGCATTGGTCAAATAGATTCTCACCACCACTCCACCAAATCTGTATGCAGACCTGAGCTAAGCAGGAATACTGGCACAAGAAAGATGTAGCTGACAGGCTTCATTATCTTCATATGTTTACGATTTCATTAGCATTTTAACGACAAAGACAACTTACCATGTCAAACACAGATTGTTTTAAACTACTTGTAAACCTTTGGCATAAATATAATGGATCTTTCTTGTAAATTCATTTGTTTATTTCAGCTTCACAATTTTTAAACAGTATTTTACCTTTCTGTAACTTCAATTTTGACTCCCACGGCAGGAGTTACCTACATACTGGAGCAGACAGACCTTGCCAAAATGCACTGATCCTCACTGGTCCCTTTTACCCTTGTCTAAGAGGAGAAAAACAGGTTTTTGTCTGAGCAGATGACCCAAAACGCCTCATTTTATTAAAAGTTTTTCCTCCTCCACACATATTTATCTGAAAAACAAGCCCCTGTGTAACAGGCGCTGTTCCTCTTTAGCCACGTACGCTTCAACGCACACTGCAACGCATTGGGCCACTGATATTTTTGCAAAAGTTATGAAAAGTTGTCATCTTTACCCAAATTTGATCTGTCTCTAACAAGAAAGGCATGCAATTAATAGATTAAGCAGTGAAAGTGATCTTTTGGGGAGCAATTAGAAAGTCTCATATCCGTCACTCCCATGGCAAGATGGGTCCCAGGGGCCAGCGAGACATGCTTTACCCAGGAGCCAGAAAGGGGTAGACAATACGGGGACTCAAGGAGTCTCTACCAACACCCCCCCCTCACACACACACACGTCCCCAGCTCTTTTGCAGCTTCACAGAAAAACTGCAGAAGCCAAGACCAGCAAGATCACAGTTTTGGCAGAGGCAATCATAGTTAACTTTGTCCGTGGTTAACAGTCACTGCTCATCTTTTTCAAGCAAGAGAGGTGTCAAGTTCAGACAAATCTAAGCACACAGTTTCTTCCTTTGTACCTTCCTGAAAACTAGTTGTGAAAATATTACTTCTATGATTTTCTCCTGAAGTGCTTTTCTTTATCACTGACAAACACAAAAAAAACCCGGTGTAACGCCTGCACATTAATTCCTCTGATTTGGGTCAATATTAGACCACTACACGAAAAAACTCAATTCCTTCACAAAACTTACTCATCTAGAACACATTTTGTGAACAATTTCAGCATACTTAAAGAAATTAATTACTTTCCAGACCTGAAAGCATGATCTTCCAAAGTCTTCATTAAAGGCAACACCAGAGAAATCTAAAGCCATACTCAAGTCTCTCCCCCTTTTCTATTTCCTAAAGATGCTATTACAATGTTTTAATCCTCAGATCCAAGGAAGCAGTCCACACTCAAAACAAGAGCAGTGGAAGAGTAACTGAAGTGCTATCAGGACTGAATAAAAGTATCCGGTTGACACATTTCTGTGAACTGGACAATCTACATGCACCTCAGATTGCATATGGTTGCCTTTGTTTTAACTTGTGCCATGGACAGTATTTGGGAAAACTTCAAAGGGACCTCATTTGAGTTACTAACACTCACCACTGCTTATCCAAGTTACACTGAAGAATTTTCAGTGTAGGGACAGGCTGTGCTGGCTTTTCCATCCCTGAATTGTTTAACCATTTTCAGCTATGAGGAGTCTTTGCTTTCTACACCAAATGTTGAGTAGTCTCATCTGGCCAGGGAACAGTAGCAATATGGGGATGAGTGAGATCTGAACTTTCTCCTCCCTTGACCTTTTTAGCGCAGTGTTTTTCAGACACTGCTTGAGCCAAGAGTATCCCTTCAATGGCGGATAACAAGTTCTCCCTTTCATTTGTCCATGTTGGCTGAACTCATTATGGACTGCACTAAACTACACACAGCCACCCTGCCTTTAGACCTCACACTGTCATTTCCATTTTCAGTGTTTTCCTTCAGAGCTCCAGAAGATGGAAGATCAGGCAGGACATGTTTGAAAGGGCTCGCTGGAAAGATTCTGAGATAATTCTGCGTCCATTCATCTATAAGCTTTTTCTGGGACTCTACAGCTTTCAGTACAGTTTATTAATTTGTCAGCAGAAGTTTTGAACATTGTCAGAAATATTTACTTCAGCATGTAGCTCAAAAACAGTTTTTTAAACAGG